TATTTTATTTAAAAAATACTAAATACAATTAAATTTTCCAGGCAAATTTGCCTGGAATACAGTTTAAGGGATAAGTTTTACAGTATGATTTTTATACCATATATATATTTGGAGAGTATAACTAGCTACATGTGTAACTTTTGGTTGCTTATTTTAAATAGTCTGCTTAGGGCAGTATCATTTATTACCTGATTTTTTTTTATTAGAAGCTTATCCCCCTCTCTCTCTTATTATATATCTTGATTAGGTCTTTATATATAATTTTAAATTTTTTATCCCCTCCTTCTCTAAAAAATTACCTAATTTTTGATACATCTCTTATTACTAAATTTTATACTAGATGTTATACCTATAACCTGACTAGAGGGTTATCTATTTAAATTCTTTGTGTCTTTGTGATTATACTGTTAATCAAGCAAGGATCTAATGCAGATATCTTTAGTTTCAGATACCGATTTAAGACTTTAAGGCAGGCCCTTTGCCTCAAGAACCCTTTATTCTCAAGGCAAACTTGCTAGTATCTTCTTATCCACAATCTTGCTAACTTAGTCTCAGTTAATATGTACAAGCTGAGACCTCCACTTGCATTCTAGTTTCCATATTGAGTACTATAGCCTGATCACTGCTACATAGGGTTTCTAAATTTGATTTGATTAGTTTGAGTTTAATCAAACTTTTAAATCAAACTCAAACTCAAACTATAAATTTTTAATAATTCAAATTCAAACTTAAATCAAATATAAAATTATCAAACTCAAACAAACTCTGTAAGTTTGATTCAAAGTTTGCAAACATATTTGGGTTTGAATTAATAAATATTAGTTTTTGTATAAAGCATCCAATAATGGTATTTTACTATACGGGTCTTATGTAACAACCTGTGCTTTTTTCGAATATTAATTTGCACAGGTCAATATGAAAATCATATGATTTTCGAATTCACATGTATTTTCATATAAATCTGTACGAATGAATACTTTTTAAATTGTAATTCATATACTTTTTAAATTAGTATACTTTTTAAATTATAATTAGTATATTTGTTAAATTGTAATTAATGTAATTTTAAATTGTAATTAACATATTTTTATTATTCTCGCTCAGATCAACTTTATTGATGAAGATACGATATGAAAGTGGTGCTATACTGCAGCTCTTAGTGCCGATATATATATATACTTTTAAACATAAAGACAACTACAACATAATCAGATATTACGTGCTGGTCATGTAACGAAGACAAAAGAGGATCAAAACTCGAGCATATATGTACATAGCACACTATGATAGTGCATTTCTAACCATAACAAAAGACCTTATATATATTTCCCACTCATTCTGCTCCCACCGCTTCTTCCACTTTTTTGCTTTTTCTATATCTGCTTCTTCCTGTTTCTCTGGCTTCTTCTACTTTATTGGCTTCATCAGTTTCTTCCACTTTGTTAAGTTCGTCAGCTTCTTCAGCTTCTGTCTCCTTTGGCTTCATTAGCTTCTTCAGCTTCTTTCGCTTTCTTAGCTCCTCCTTCTGCTATTTCTCTTCTTCTAGTCTTACCCTTATCTAGTTCGACCCACCAGTACACACTCATTTTCGATCCATTTTTTGCCTTTATTTACCGGATTCATAATTCTCCTTCTTTTTAAAAGCAGCAAGCACGAGCCTACACTATGATATAGCGCATTCTACTTGCTACGCATATGCCTAGAAACAAACATGATACACCTATCCAGTGATAACTAACGAAATACTTTTTCTTTTTTCTTTAACGTAACAAATACAAGCCAATGCTATGGTATAGCGCATTCTACTTGCTACACTACAAGTAATGACAAAAAGGTGCTTCTTTCTTCTTTATTTAAGTAGCATATACAAGCCCATGCGCATCCTACTTCCACCCATACACATACTTCTCCACATTTTACTTTCTATTAAATAGCAAGTATGGACCCATGCTATGGTGTGGCATATTCTACTTGCTATATGTATATACGTACGTAATACAAGATGAATTGGAGTCATAGAAAAAGATCTCGGCTTTTCACATTTCATCTTTTCTTTTTTTTTTTTGCCGTCAGGGTAAGGTGTTCCTGAAGATCATCTCCCAAGGCCTCTTATTATTTTTTATTTTATTTTATTTTATTTTTTTTCTATACTATAAGCCCTACATTAAAATTCGACCAAAAGCTCTCACAGGTTCACAACGCCATCGCACGTATAGGCAATTCTTGTTTCAAAATTACTCAGGGTGAAAGAATTGTGATGGTACTTGTCGATTTAGATTTGCAATTATTTGGATCAGTCCAATTTTTTGGTCTAATTGATAATAAGCCTGGATTTTGTGCAACTCCCTATTCATAAAATTCTTTCTTTCATTTGTAAATCATCTCATATGATAAGAGAGACTAGCGCATTTTCTTGAGGTGATGTAAAATCTTCGGAATCAAGATCTTATTTGGATACTTTTCCAAAATTGTTATACCATTTTGTAAATTTTGTAACAGTTTATTTTAAAAGCTTCTCAGGGTGTTCTTTTGTTTGGCAAATCTCCACGCTCTCAATTACGTTAGTCTTTTTTGGCTCAAAGTAATATTTTAGTCGGCTTCTACTTCTCACCATTTTAGATATTCCGAATGTCAATTCACCAAAACCAGATCGGGTCATATAACAACATTTTCTGTCCTTTCATTCAAAACCATATTTCATTCTTGTGATCTATAGCATTTAAGAAACAGTGTCAGAAGCTAATTCACATCTATATAGGATCTTGAACCATTTTAGATTAGCTTCTGCTCTGCACATACATGTAACTTTCGCATTTTACTTTCTTTT